AGAGGGTGTGAGTGTGTGGAATTCCAACAGTAGGAATAAGGGCAGCTGTCTAGCTCACAATGAGTGAGTAGTGGATGCTGAGCCCAGACCTTGCAGAAATCCCGGAGAACCCACCATGGAGTTTTAGGATTGAGAGTATAGCGAAGTCTAGTCAAGAAGTAGCAGTTTTGGAGAGTTTTGCCCCACAAGCCTAGTCGGCATAGAGAGCCACGAGCCCTCTTTCACCGTCTTGGTAATTGAGCATCATCCATCCAGTACACAATGACAAAGTCTCAACTGCATCCTCTCACACATTGTGAAGGAACAGCTTACACATCGTGGAGGTGGTATTTGTACTCTTTTTCTCCTTTCCACCACACATGGCCTTGGAGTGTTGATGCAATTAGCATGAAAGCCAGAAGCCTTTTGATTTTTAACTCACCCGAAAATTCACGCTCTGACGTCAGTTAATCTGAAATTACTTAGGGAAAATGTGGGAAAATGAGTGGGGAAATGGGGGGGAAATGGGGGGGAAATGGGGGGGAAAATGAGGAGGGGATTGGGGGGGAATGAGGGAGGGAATGAGGGGAAATTTGAAGGGGGGAATGAGGGGAAATTTGGAGGGGGGAATGGGGGGAAATGAGGGGGAAAATGAGGGGGAAAATGAGGGGGAACTGGGGGGTTTCTAAAAATTTGAAAAACAGTCAGGGAAAATTAAGGAAAATTCAGAAAGTGGAGGACTTTCTAAAAAAGGAAATGTCTGAAAAATCAGGGGAAATTAGGGGAAAAATCAGAAAATTTGGGATAAGTGTTAGACACTGGTCCGGGGTCGGCACTGAGGGTCACCGTTGTGGGCCGCTATAGGCCGCGATGGCCATGATGCCGTGAACAAGGCCCGGGGGTAGGGCATTTGGCCTCAGCAATTCTAAAGGGAGTGCTGTGCCCCCTAGCTGTCTCTTGGCCCTCATTTCGGACTCACTGGGGTTGCCTTGTTGGGGTCAGGACTTAGGGGTTGTGGTCACATCGATATTAAAGCTAAGGTACAATAAAGTATCATACAGGATATATATAGGAGGAAGAAATGAATGGAAGCAGACCCGGGCTGGAGGCCGAAGGGTCCGGAAGCAAACAAGAATAAGGAGTGGGTTGGCTGCATAGCAGCTGGCAATGACTGAGGGTCAAAACAAACAATAACAGATAAATAAAGGAAAGAGCGTAGGGCTGTGATAGCAGCGATGGTATCATAGCAGCGCTGGACTCAGAGTTGGGCTGGAGTCGGGTGTGGGGATGATAGCGGCCCTGTAGGGGCCAAGTGGGCAGGGTAGAGGAGTCGCGCTGGGCACGGTGCCAGAGGCGGACTTGGGGTGGGAAGGTTGGTGGGGCTGTGGGGGAGTTGGCCAGGTGCAGGGGAGCCTAGGGGCAAGCGGGGGAGTGAGCAGGGAGTCCTCATGGAGGATAGGGCTGAGGTCAGGGCTCACGCTCACGCTTGCATAGCGGTAATGGGCTCAGGCAGCATTGGGACAGGCGGGGAACGGGCCGGAATGCACAGCCGTGACAATAAGTCAGGGAGTGATATTTCAGGAAATTAGGAATAATTGGAAAAAGATTAAAATCACTTTTTTGATAATTCAATGTGCATTGGAAAGTGCCAAAGTGGGGCAATGTAGCAATGTATGTTTCAGTGTTAAAAAGTCTCCCACCATGCTTTGGTGAGCCAAATAACTATGGCTCTTTTGACCATGGGAAATTGGGTGTCAGAGGCTTGGATGATGTCAGAAGGATACATCAGCTTTTTGTTTGCTTTATTGGTGGTATTTTAATTTACTTCATAACTCTATGAGCCCACTGAGCTCATAGAGCTCATAGAGCTTTCAGAGCAATGACAATGGCCATTTACACACACATATATCCATATTATCTTTGCACTACTGGTGCCAAAATAACTAAGCAGATAGAGCTTTTCAAGTAATGATGCTGGCCATTTAACATGCATTTCCAAAGCTTCCTACCAAGTTTGCTGATGTTGAGACCATGGAAGAACTCCAAGTGGCTATGGAGATGTACTGAGTGGATCAAGACATTTTGTTTGTGGATAAAACTTGAGTGCAAGGCAAGGTTTTGGAGGTACACATTATCCCAGAGACTTCACACTACAATCCCAAACAACTACAAACCCTTATTTCCATATAAGGAAATTCCATAAAGGGAAATTTCCTTTTATAGAAACTTAGTAGGACTACTAGGATGGAAGAAAACATATTGGGTCACCATTGGAATCAACTGCCACAGACAGATTTCTGTGGCAGCTGCAAAGAACTATCAGCAAAGTGGTGAGCAGAAGATATAAAGAAATCATCACTCACATTGTGCATTCCTTGGTTGTGCCAAGGCTTGAATGCTATCTCCCTGTGTTCTGGATGGAACCAAGGTATCCAGTGCAGGATCCTGAACATCTGCCTCAGGGCACCAGACTTCAGGCAAGGTTTGATTGCAGACAGCTGTGAAGTTCCTCATCACATCCGGGGTTGGGGGTGGGTCCTGTTCCAATATGTCCAGCACCACAGGCATGAAGTCTGCCCATGTCAGAGGCACTTTGGCCTGTTGAAGGTTATCCTCCAACAACCAGGATTGAAACATGATCCCTCCTGAGAGACCTCTGCAATCATGTGTTGTGTGTGGTTAGTGAATGGAATGCATACATATCATAGATATCCTTACTCTTTCCATATAATGCTACCAACCACCATGCATTGGAGGATGCATGGATCATTCAGATCTGTGTGGCTGACAGACCCAGGCATTCATGTTCCTTGACTGGAAGGTCCTGGATATACCCAAGCTCCATGGCAATCACCACTTGCAGCACAGCCTTGCAGTGCTGCCCATGGATGATCTGGATCAGTTCATCTCCATCCAAGAACCCATTCGAATCCACCTCGATCAAGTCATCTGTGGGCAGGAGCCCAGCCATGGCATACTGCTCAATGTCCTTTGTCACCATGTGGCCCCAGGAGCGGTGGTGCTCTGCCACCCAATGCCAGCTGACCTCACGGTTGTGTGGCAGGAGGTCCATTCTGGACAATGGGACCTATGAGTTGGAAGGGTTGGCAGAAACAAAAAGGGAAAACTCAACATGCCTTTGCAAACCCTTTGAACAATGCATGCTTCAATGCATCATAGTCAGCCTGGGACATGGGGATGGTGTTAGAGGTGGAAGCCATAACTGGAGGAAAATAATGGGCAAGTGGATCTTATATACCTAGATGTGACTGTGATGATGATTCTGTGGCTGTGATTCCCTATGAAAGGGGCCAACTCATATCATAACCCCATGAAGGAAATGTGGCAGTGCTCCCACCTTATGCATCTTTCCTGATCATGTGCAATGCTTGACACATCAAGAGAAATTTTTGATGACCACATGATCAAGGTAAATTTTTCTTGATCATGTGGCACATCAACACACATGGCATCAATGAATAAATTATGGAGAAAAATGGAAAATATCATTACAAAAATGGTGCCTCATCATTTCTTACAAGGGATAGGAGTTTACAGGGGATTTTACAGGTGGTTAGACATAGTTAACAAGTGGGGTTCCTGCATACATAGCAGTTTCCCCCTGGTGAAAAAATCTCACCTGTCTTGGTGCCACATGATCAAGAAAATATTTACTTGATCACCTGATTTGCAGATCCAGAAGGTATAAAGGTGGGATCCACTGCCTCTGTTTCCTCTTTACCACCTCAACTTCCTCTTCACTCCCTCTTTACCCACCTTCAGATGTGAGTTTGGGACAGCTTTGAGGGAGTCCATCACTGACACAGGCTGCCCATAGGATGAATGCGCTTCCAAATGAAACTCTTTGTGAAATTGCAGAGCATTGCACTGGCATGCTCCAGACCCAAATCACACTTTCCCTGGTTTCCCAATGTCTTCATGCCACCATTCAGTCACACATCTACAAATTTGTTTCAATCATGGCTTGACCAGATCTGGGGGTGTTGGTCCACCAGGCAGAGATAGAGTGGGACCATCGGGGTCAGCCCTCAGTTGATCCAGAGGAAGTTGACTCCATGCAATGAGCTGGGGAAGAGATGCGTGTAGGCCCTCTTGCCATCTCTGGGTCATGCCACACATACTTTGCATTGATGCTCCATTTGGTCCCCAACTTGAGGGACCTATGCATTCACATACCAGAATCACCTTATTTCGGGCATGGGCCTGGAGATCTAACCAAATGGATTGGCTAAAGGATCCCTGCAGGGCATTGTTCTCTGAGGGAAATCTCCCTGTTCTGGGATGGGTTCAGGATGGATGACATCATGCCTTTGATTCATCTCCCAAATCTGTCTACCATCTCTCTATGTGGGTTGAGCAGGACTGAAGGGCAGGATCACTGGAAGCAGCCCCTGCCCAAAAACCTCACCCTTCATGTGTATGGCCATCCTGAAAGGGATGTTTATGGGGATGCAGGGGGTGTCGTTGGTGTTGTCGGAATGGCTCAGTCACTCAAGAAGTTTGTGGGGTGGCAAGATGCCATGGTCTGGGTGCTACTGACAATCAACAAAAATCTCTAAAAATCAACACTCACTCCTGGTCACTCTTGACAATCATCAGGAGTCCTAGGCTGTTTTCTAGATGTGCTCTGGCATGGCTGATCTTCTAGACAAAAGGGTACTGCAAATCTGAGGGGGGAAGTCTTTTGTATCATACAGGAAAATACTGGAAAATCCATGTGCCCAGGAATGAATGGTCCATGGGGCCACAGAATAGAAAAGAAAGTGATGGAAATAAACCCACATCAAAAGCAATATAGGTAATATAAAATGAATGAAATGAATATAACCAAACCCAAACCGCTACTCCTCATCCTTCTCCCACTGCTCCAATAAATCCTCCTAAATTGTAGCTTTCTGCTGATACCAAATTTGTCCAAATCAGTCCTCCCAAAAGGGGATGGAAATGGGCAATAGGCTATTACCTGGGCCAGAAAGCAAGATTCCAACTGGGTCGTTGAGATGACACATGGTCCTGACTATGTTCCAATTCCAGTCCCTAAAGATACCAAATTCCCTTCAGATTTCTTCACCAAAGTGAGCGTCTACAAAGAGAAAGCAAAGGGAAAGGGAAAGGCCTCAGTGGATGACTCCTTCCCCAATAAACCAGATCCACACAACAATGGTATCTTCAGATCTGGGGTATTGGAACTCAGCTGGCACCAGGAGTGTCAGTATTGGCAGACAACTCAGGAAGTCTTTCACATGTGGAACATGCAATTGCAAACACAGCAAGACCATGTTGCATACTGTAATTCAAAAGACCATCTTCACTGGGCGATGGCTGTATACCAGCCAATCAAGATTGCTGAGGGAAAGGGTTCAAATACCCATCACCTCTCATCCAAATTCCGCATCACCATGGTGCTCCTTTCCTGTCATGATACCAAATGCTGTCACCCCCTGATGCAAGGCAATGGCATTACTCCATTTCTCTACCTCTCACTTCTTAATGCCTTTAAACCTTGGACTGACGAAGATCCCAATGACTTCGACTTTGTCATTGGCCATGCCAAGAATTTGATGCAAAACAAAAATGAGTGCATCCAGAACCCCACTCTTTTTGTTCAACAGCTCCAGGGCATTGGTGATGAGTCTGGGGATGAAGTTGATGCAAGCTTCCTTTTGGATGTTGTCCATAAGGGTTCAGGCTGCGAGCAGGGATACATCTGCCTCAACCTCCTATACTTATATTTCCCATAGGGCCTTCCTATGTCCATAGGTCTAGGGATGCATTCACAGGTGAATACGCACTGATCAGAAAACAAAGCAAAGACCATTCTCCCTTCCCCTTCCCATGATGTTGCATCATGCACAATCCCAGCACCTCAAAGGAAAAGGAGATCACCAGGGTTGGAAGGTAGGGCATATCCCAAGTCAGGGAACTCACACAGGCCACCCTCATATCTTCCAAATGGTGCCACAGCATCGAATCCACACCAGCATGAAGCCGAGTCACGGTGGAATTCAGTGTCCGCATTGAACCGAATGGCTTGACCAAAGAAATGGGACTTAATCTGACTAAGGTAACCTTTTCTTCAATCACGCTTCTTCCTGATCTTGATCCAAACTTCATGGCTGCATCTTGCAAAGTTGGGAGCAAGCTGCTTGGTGTACATGTTCAGAATGTGGTAGAATGATTCACAGCGATTTTGGAACCTCTTGTGCTTCTCCACCTGATCCTTGGCATCTGAACTCACAACAGGACGCAAGTGCTGGAGGTGGTCAGCTATCATGAGATAATAATATAATATCTATGGACTTACCATTTGTCCTATTGGATGCCAGTAGGCATAGTGTATTTGGCCTGACTTGAACAGGTTATGGGGGATGTGGTCCTTGGTATTTATGTGGAACTTGGGCTGGGGGAACTTGAACTCGTGGCTTAGGTCATGACCTGCTTCGACAATGTCATTCTGAGGCAATGGGTTAAACTTGACCAGCTGGAGTGGAAGGAAGTAATGTAACACACATGAATTTCTTGAAACACCGCTGGTAACCTTATCGCCACGAGAACACCATTTTTGTCTTCAATGGCTGCTCCCCCAGGGTGGTCCAAGATGATCTTTTGGCCAGGGTTGATTGGGGGAAGTTTGAGTGGCTTCAAATTACCTTGCGTCCCATTTTTCATCTTTGCCTTGTCGTTGTGGATCGCCACAGACTGGTAATCAAAATCTAATTTCACTGAAGAAGAATCAGCAACCTCCTCCAGCCTGAACAATTGGTTATTTCCTACCTGTGTTCTTCAATGCCTCCTGTATGATACCGTCCATCCTCTGCCGGGCATGATGGACAGCAGATCGAGTATGTGGGTCAGTTACACCCTCCAGGCGTTCATCCACTGTCATACTCAAAAGACATTTCAATGTGGGGAATAGGAAATAAACAATAAGTCTTACAAGTCCGCTGGCATTTGAAAATCAGCTTTAGTGTTACTCATTCTGAGTCATGTGTTGATGGGGAAAAAAAAAAAAAGGAAGATAATCATGTGATCATATCATGTTTGTGTGCTTCATACCCAACTCACGCAGGATACATTCATACCTGCATAGGACAACCATTCATGAACTACCATACAATGAAAATAGAATATACACCAGGCAAGGGAATGGTAGCTCAAGCCTGGGCAGCAGGAAGAAAGGATGGGCCTTCAATTAAGGTAGTAGTCACAAGAGTATCGGACAATAGGAATTTACAATCTGCGCCTATGCAATGTTATTCATCTAGCAGGGCGTATCTAAACATCCAAGTACCATACAAGGGAATAATAGACGGACAAGGATCGGAAATTACTTGCTCAAAACGAGGGGAAGAAGATAAAATCCCAGCTGTGCCTAGAACAGGCAACCTGTTATATGAGTCACTTGGTTTGGCGGGAACAGAATCCAAACTAATCACACCAGTCAATGACTTGATAAATCCAGAAATAATAAAGAGTGGAGGGAATACAGAATATCTTGGAGTGTTACAACAAGTATGGGATTTAACGGGATTAGAACCAGTATGGGGATTTGAATATTTTATTCATTGGCTATTAGAAACACGAGGTTTACAGCAACTGAGGCTGGAGAAGCTGCCAATGATATAGCGAGGGAGGTACAAGCAGCTAAGTACAAATGGGTAGATCAGAAAAAGAAGCCTGTCTCTGTTGGGGATCCAACCGCTCCAATTCCCCAATATAAAGAAATTGTGATCGACTACATCAAGCCAATACCATTTTCGCCAATATCAGCGGAGAACTTTAATTACACCGAAAAGTTTATGCCCGAACGAGTCCAGGCTATGATAGACACTATACCTAAAGAGTTTCTCTGAACCGCGGAGGTTGATCTTTTGGTTTATATAGTAGGCAGGCACCCGAATGCCTTTGCCTATTCTAGTAAAGAACGAGGAGTGTTTAGTAGAGAATATTTTCCTGATTATGTGATACGTACAGTTAAGCATGATCCATGGCAGGAGAAACCAATCAGATTCCCATTGGCAATGGAGGGAAAAATAGTGGATTTAATAAAAGAACGTCAAGGAAATGTATATGAGCCATCGCAGTCAGCATACCGATCAAGAATATTCGTAGTAGAAAAGAAAGATAACACTTATAGACTAGTACATGATCTACAGAAGCTTAATAGCAAAACCATCAAAGATGCCAGCCTGCCGCCACGTGTTGATGACTTCACAGAACAAATTTGCAGGTCATTCAATTTATGGGATTGCCGATCTTTACTGTGGGTATGATGCATGCACGTTAGCTCCTGAAAGCTGTCACTTGACAGCTTTTCATGGTTTTAGCCTAGGTCTGCAGCAGCTCACATGTCTCCCGCAGGGATTCACGAACTCAGTAATTGAATTTTGTAGAAGATCTTATCATGTAATAAAGGGAATGGCAGACAGAGCAGGGGTGTTTGTTGATGACATCGCACTCAAGGGACCTCCAACCCTGTACCAGGGAGAGACCATCCCCGAGAACCCTGAAATCCACCGATTTGTTTGGGAATATGCACAATCGCTACACAAGTTACTAACGAGAATCGAGACCAGCGGAGTTACTATTTCAGGTAAGAAATTTGTATTGGCAACCCCCAAATTACAATTAGTAGGAAGAAACGTGTCCATAATCAGACAAACCATAAGTCACGGTACCCTATCCAAGATCCTTAAATGGGGAAGTTGCCAGAGCATCTTGGAAGTATGTGGATTTCTAGGAACCATTGGAGTTGTGCGCTGATGGATCCAAGATTTTGCTAAAATAGCTAAGCCATTGACTATGTACACAAGGAAGGGAGCCGATGAGGACTTCCAATGGATGGACAAAGCACAAGACTCAATGGACATATTGAAGGAAGCAGCATTGGGTGCAGGAGCCTTAATAAGGCCATTAAGTTTAGAATTAGCAAGACAAGTGGGTTTCGTCAGTTAATTAATGGATTCAGGGATCAACCAAGGCACATACAATACAGAGCACCTGTGGCGGTGGAACAAAAAGTCAAAGCACGCGCCGTAAATAATCAGGGGAAAAGCATAGTATAACTATAAAGCTAACAAGTTATAAAAGGAAAAATAAAATGAAGGAGGGATGGGCTTTGAGAGTCTGGAAGCATGTGGTCAGCTGTTGCACACAGGCAAGGAGAGGCTGGAAGAACTGGCGATCTAATCAGCAGGAGAACAGACAGGGAGAAGAGTTCACCCTTGAGGAAGCTGCTGAATCGATCATCAATGACCCACCCACACCTCAACAGGTACAACAAGTGACCGGCAGACTGCCAGTAGTCGAATGCCCGGCTTTTACGTATTGGTATGTAGTGTGCGAGGTTATGGCAGTGCATGGTCTATCCGAAGGACTTGCTATGATCCACATAGACGACTACATAAGCCAATGGACAGGACTGGAGGGAAGCATGCCAGATACACACAAGAAATATATGGGTGTAATAATAAATATTGTATATTGACTCGGAAGAAAGGTATAAAATAACCTAGAATAATTCCACAACACCAGAAAGACCCCTCACACTGAACGAGACTAAACTACAAGCATGAAGACTACTCTATGCACGGCGATTGCAGTAATCCTGGGCCTGATCCTAGCTTTAGCAGGCTGGCGCTATGGATTTACACCCAATGAGGACAAAGAAAGGCAACCAGAGAGCCCATTAACATCTGACAGAGAAGAACCAGAGGTGGTTCATAGGAATATGGAAGATCGAGAGAGATTAAGCCCTCAGGAATCGCTGGGGGACTGGTATCTACCCAAGAACCAAGGGAGGAAGCCAACGGGCAGGCAATTCTATGCATCCTGCAACCTTTCTCACCCCTACTAACTCAATGGAAGGAGGAAGAGGAGTAACATCCCCTTTATTGCCTTTCCGGGGGCAAGAAAAGGTACAGATCCGAAATTGGCTGTCCCAGAATGGCAATCGCTGATAGCCGAGACTATGTACACAGCCGATCAATAAATCCCTGGACTCTGTGTGCAGATCCCAATGTACTCTAGCGTTAAAGTAAACAAAACCAAGGATAGGGTAGAGACAAGGAGTGTCTCATCGGCCCAGAAACAATTGAGTAGCAATCGAGGGATTTGGTCCACAATGTGTGGGGGGTAGATCGTAGCATGAGTAAGACACAAAGAATCGATCAATGAGGGCGCAAGATCCCAAATAAATTGAAAACCTGAAGATGACTTGCCAGTGAGACAAGCCAGGAAGTCGGCAGGGAGAGGAGTCATGGGAAAATCGGAGAACCCCAGAGATGGCAGCCATCTAAGATTGGAGTGCGTGCCCAAAGGGAAATGCCAAAGGAGGATTTGGTTCAAGGGAACAGCCAGGAGAATTGAGACGTTGCAAGTGGGGAGAATGGCTGAAGGCTGCAGGGGCACAGACCTCTGAACCTAACCAGACCACCCTCACACACACACACAGGTAACGAAGGGGGAGGAGCGAAACCGCAGCGTTGACAGACTCACTGGCAGACCTTCCTACTAGGTCCGAAAAACTAAACTTCCATCAAAAACCAACTAGACTCCCTGGTGGACCTTCCCTAGGGCCGAACAAGGTGTCCTGCCTTCTCAACGTCGCCCTAAACCTAACTGAACTCGTTCACACGCTCCCAGATGCGGTACTGTCGGACTGGCACTAAAGCGGGATGGAGGAGAAGATCTCTTTTCATACTAGATACATGCTTGTATATAACCAAAGCTAATGTCCAAGCAATCTGACGGTGTTAGAGACGGACAGAAATGGAAAGAACAACATAGAACGAAGAAAACAACAGAAAACATGATAAATATATGGGCGCGGCCACACAATCGATAGAATTCGACGATCTCCACAACGGCTGCACCAAATCTCTCGATGCTAGACTTGTTAGACTCGTCTTGACGGTAGCTTTCTAACGGTATAAAATGCGTTTGGATCGGAGAAGAACTGGGGGAGATATGGTGAAAATACTATAGAAGCGGCCTGATATGGCCATAACCTGGTCCAGAAAAATATCAAAAAATACAGAGATGATGGGGGGAAGTGCAACGGGCTTTGGGGGGCTGGGGGATTGTGTGTTGGGTCCCAGGTAGCATCTGTAGACCATTATATGGTGGTGTTTTGGTACTACCGGCTCATCCCTCCCACAACGTTGAGCAATGATATTGAAGACCAAAGCAGAGCAGATATCAGAAAGGTCAAGCAGAGAGGAACAGGGAAGTGGAACGGAGAAATGAGGCTGCAGATGGATTGCCTCACAGTCATTGGAAAGATTGAGGGATAAGACACGATCCACGAAGGGAAAGCTCAGAACCCCAGAGTACTGATGGAGGATGGAGTATACAGAAGCAAATATATATATAAATCAGAGGAGGACAAAGACAGCTTAGCTAGAGTCCTGCCCCCTCAGAATAATCTGAACTAGCTTATATCTGAATATGTCTACTGTCCAGACCGCCAAATTGCCAGTGTCTCTAGTCAAGTGAGGTCAGATGGAAGGTTGGATTCCGAATCACGTTGTAGCAGCAGAAGCAATCACGACTTTGGGAAAGGTGGCAATCCCAGAAACAGATGAAATGTCTACTAGTGCTGATAGCCATGGGTCGGACTCTGAGCTTGAATACCTGATTGAAAGGGTGAGGAACAACCTCAACCAGCGACAAACAGCGGACAGGGAATTATTGGAAAGGATGGGGGGAATTCTGGAAGAGTCCCGCCAACAATCTGATAGTAAGCACGTGAAGACAAAGACAGAGGAAGTTAAGATAACCCAGATAGCCACCGTAGATACGGATTCAGAAGATTTACAGGATGCGGAATTACAGTATCCCGAAAGTAGTATCGCAGAATATGCATATAACTGGACAGATCCACCC